GCGACTGGAGCTGTTTGTAAGTTGAAATGGTCGTAAGTAGGGACATTCGTAAGTTGATGCACCACTGTATTAGGTGTGTACATGCACAGGGACAGCTGGCCCAACTTGGATGTTCCCTAGTAAGTGTGCTACTTGTACAAAATCAGTTATTTTGAAACATAGTAGTCCCATTGAATCAGTGGGATTTACATGAACATGGCATAAGTTCTAGTCTTGGGCGAAATGAAGAAAGGAAGGAAGGAAGCAAGCAAGCTAGTGTAAGTGTTGATTTAACTAGGCCCATAGTTGGACTTAATTGAATTTAGCTCTTAACTATTAGCTTGGTGAGGTGGTTCCCAATCTTGAGTCCCCAAATGTTCTTGGACTAAAACTTCTAGAAGTCTTCCCTTCTAGTTAGACTAGAATTTCTGGGAGTTGTAGTCCCAGAACATCAAGGGAACCAAAGTTAGTAACCACTGGTTTAATAGTAGGATGTCCCCAAATGCAGTGGTCCCCAACTTTGGGCCTCCAGATGTTTTTGGACTACAACTCCCAGAAGCCTTCACCACCACCTCTGCTGGCCAGGATTTCTGGGAGTTGAAGTCCGAGAACATCTGGAGGACCAAGGTTGGGGACCACTGCCCTAATGCATAGCTTGAGAAGTAGGTCATGTTGCCGAGTGTTGCTGCACTGTACCTATGCAAAGGAATGTAGGTAATATAATGCTTCAAGACAAGTCTGAAATGTAGCCTTGCCCAAAGATACACCTGGAAGCCTCCTCATATCCCAGATAACAAGTTTTCCACATCCAGGAAAATTACTATGTTTTCCAGGCAACAATTATACATGTACAGTTTTGAAGTTTTACTTTAACAACAACAACAACAACAACAACAACAACAATAATAGTAACAGTAATCGTAATCGTAATCATAATAATAATCAACAACAACAATAATAATAGTAATAGTAACAGTAATCGTAATCGTAATCGTAATAATAATGAAGAAGAAGAAGAAGAAGTCTGAGACTGTCCCAGCTATCATGTCAAGGCTGTGCTGGCTGGGGAATACTGCAAGTTGGAGCAATCAAAAGTGGATTTCTACTTCATCTACGTACTTCTCAATGAATGGATGGTGGATAGCTGGTTGGCTGATGGCCCTGAGACGGCAGCCCAAGAGGAGTGAGAGAGCACATCATTTATTCTGCAGTGTTTTTCCCTGAAACCAGGCACAACTTCTGGAATAGCTTGCCAATATTCCTAGGTCAAATGAAGCACAAAGCCTGTACTGTTTTTGCTGCAATTTTGACTTCATACTCCAAGGGGGATACATTATGGTGACTTGCCTGCATAAGCGTTTGATAGAGTGAGTATCCAAGATTAAAATGTTCTTTGGAGAAAGATAGTGGCTTTCCTAGAAGAAGAAACACAGTAGTCAGGGACATGACTGGTACACTCCTACATCAATCACTGATATTCTTTCGCAGTAGTCAGGGACATGACTGGTACACTCCATCAAACACTGATATTCTTTCAGTAGGAAAAGTGTCCTTGCAGCTACTTTCAGGACCAAAAATACTCCTTCACCTATACATTTATTATACTTTCCCCATTACTTATTTCAGGACGAAGAGATATACTTACAGTAGGTATGGTCATGTTGCAAAACTGTGCAGAAGCATCTACTTGTAGGAGGGTTAACATACATAGCTTTTTCTTCTCTGTTCTGACATTTACAGTTGTGTATTTTCCCCCCTGCCTGGCTGGATAGCTCAGTAGTTTAGGCCAGAAGTTTGATTCCCCATTGTGCTTCCTGCAAGTATAGCCAGCCTGTGTGGCCTTTGGTGAGCTGCACACGCCCAGGGCACCCTCAGAAAGAATGATAAACTACTTCTGAGTTTTCTCTACCTGGCAACCCCTGAAGTTGGTCGCCATAAATCAGAATTGACTTGATGCTACATTGTTATTATGTGTTTTCCCATGGGTGGTAAATTTTTGTGCACTGTTTTTGAAAGCACTAGCAACTAATCCATTTGCATAAATGCTATTTAACCAAAACATGGACTTCAGAGCAGAAAAATAATCTATAGGTCCAAATAAATACTATATAATAATGCAACATTTATTGTATTACCATGTAGCATGGGAATTAAATGTAAGCACACATTTAATTTCATGCAAATACTTTAAACGACCCATACATTTAAATGTATGGGCACATTTTAAATCACCATGCTATATAGCTTGCCATGTTTTAAATCACCATGCTATAGGGCTTATATTTCAACCCGTCAAATATTATATTGAATAATTCACCATAGGAACTGGCTCTAAAATGAGTAAAGGATGTGTCTGTGAGAAGACCACAGAAACGAAGGGAATTGCTAAACACAACTTTATTGCTTCTGGAATAAGGGAGCTGATCAGTTCTAACATCAATTCCATTAATTATTTCCATTAAAAATCTTGATTAAGGATATAAAGGAGTAACAATTTTTTTGGGGGGGGACAGTATTGGTTTGACTACAGAGGCAGTCTCCTAAGTGTAGGGAAGGTATAGGAGTTTCTTTATACTGAAACACATCATTAATCTCTATAGTTTAGTATTTTTGATGCTGACAATGTTTCCAAGAATTCCATACAGGAGGATGTCCTCTCCTTTTTTATAAGACAAGTCATCTTGGATCAAATCAGAGATCTGTCTACTCCATTATTCTGTTTAAATAACAGCTGACCAAGAGGCCACTGAAAAATAACAAATAGGAAATGAATGCAAAAATGAGCAAATATCTCTGGCTTTCTTAGAAAACTGAGATTAGTTATTCTTTTTCACCAGAATCCTGGATGAAGTTAAACCATTTTCAACTCTCAAACCAGCCATTTCAATACAGTGGTGTCTCGCTTAGCGATGTTAATTCGTTCTGAAAAATCGCTGCTAAGCGATTTCATCGCTAAGCGAAACGCGGTTTCCCATTGAAATGCATTGAAAACCGGATAATCCGTTCCAATAGGAACGAATTGCCATCCTTAAGCAAAAATCGTCATAGGAAACATTGCTAAGCGAAATGCGGTTCCCCAATTGAAATGCATTGAAACCTATTCATTGCATCTCAATGGGGGGGGGGAATACAACAACAAATTAAAAAAGAGTTAGAACAAAGTCAAATTTGGTTAACAAAGGGTTTATTAAGTGCCCTTTATGATTTCAAAGATTTTAAACAGTAAACTTTAACTTTATAAATAACAGAAAAACATTTAAAAAACAGCAAACATGAGGCTGTTTAAACTATCATTAAGCGAAACAGGGGACCCAAAATTTAATTGCTATGCGAAGCATGGTCCCAACCATCGCTAAGCGAAAATCGCCCATAGGGACCATCGCTAAACGAAGTGCAAAAACGCGTCAAAAAAGTGATCGCTAAGTGATTTCATCGCTAAATGGAGCACCCACTAAGCGAGGCACCACTGTACATCAATGTTTTTCAAGAAGAACTATATTTATGAGCATAGTTTATACAGTTTTCACTGTAAATGTATTCCTTATAGAGCATCTGGAGTGATGAAAAGACTTCAGTGTTATGGGACCATGGAGAAGGCAAATGCAACTTCTGAGTCTGTATATTAAGTTTGGGTGGAAATCAGAATTCTATTTCTTACCACCAGAGAAAGACAAGCTGACCAAGCAGTCAATTAATTTTTAAACTCTGCTGGACGTTTCTGTTGGAATATTATTCTGATACTTGAGTGTGTTGAGTAATGAACTTGTGCAAACTTAATGCTTGTATCAGTAGCAGCCGGCAAAGCCCAAACAATTAGTGCATCTAAACACTGCTGCTTCCCCACCTTATTCAGTCAGAGATTGAAACTCTAGAAAAAAATGGCTGTTGTAGTTGTAGGTTTTTCGGGCTGATTGGCCGTATTCTGAAGGTTTTTCTTCCTAATGTTTTGCCAGCCTCTGTGGCTGGCATCTTCAGAGAACAGGAGTTGGAACTCTGTCTGTGTTCTGGTGTAGTGTTTGAAATAGTTGAGTATTTGTAACTGTGAGATCAGCTTTTTGTGCTTTTCAGGAGATTGGGTGATTAAGGTGATCGAGGTGTTTTTTGTTATGAGTGTATTGTTATGATAAGGGGGGAGATGATCTGTCACTGTGATTGATGGGTGTCGTTAGCTAGTCTTTTGTGTGCAGTGATCACTGGTCTTTGTGGCTGGGTAGAGTTTGTTGACCTTTTGTAGACTGTATTTTTCAGTACTGGGAGCCAGGCTTTGTTGAGTTCAGAAGACAAGTTTATTCTCAGTTACTGAGCTCAAAAATTCTAGTCCTTTTACCTTAATCTTCAATTGACTTAATTATTAACACATTAAGCTGCCAGGATGTTAATCACTGATGTTAATGTTATAAATCAGAGGACTAACAAGAGAAATGGCATATAATACTTTTGGTTGATTTTGTTGCCTGCAAGTTGCACATTTTGTTACTGGCTTCTCGAAAAGTGTTCTTTTAGGAGACTAAATTACCTTCCCCTAATTTGTACTTCCCGAATGCATTTAAATTTGACTGCTGGCTGGGAATACTGGTATTTTTAGTCCAACACATCTCGCAAGTACTATGTTGGAGAAGGCTGTTCTTAAAGAGTAGCATCTACACAACCTATGCAGTTACACGTTGTTGTTCATCTTCTACCTGTCTTTCCCTCTTTATCCTCCTACCCACATTTGGCACCATATGTGCTATTCACTCACCCTTCAAACAATATGATTGTATAGGACAAAATGGCATGTGAAACATTCCTTTTAAATAACAGCACCATGTACACCAAAACACCTAATTTTGTTCTCACTTGTTACATTAATTTGGAAATGAAACAGTATTCTGGCCTTGTTGCACACAACTATATCTAGACACCACCCATAGCTAAAATGCTCAGGCATATTCGCTTTTTCTCTTTGTCAACACCAGAAACATCATTTCTTTCTTCTCTACAGAAACCAATTGATTGTATCTTTTTGCTTCCTCTCACAGTTTGACCTTGTCTGTGAAAACAGATGGATGATAGATATGACACAAGCGCTTCTCAACCTGGGGTTTCTCGTAGGAGGCTTCACTCTTGGCTATGCTGCAGACAGGTATGTTCTCTTTCTAACACCAGACTACAGACCATGTTATCTTTTGTTGCAAATGGGCTGCTGCACATATTATGTTTTATTTGTGGCTTGGAAAACTTACTTTTTGGACTCTGGCTTCTAGAAAACCCCCATTCAATATGGTCATTTTGGGCATGGTAGTCCAAAATGTAATTTTTCTGAGCTCTGCGTGGGTATAGTTTTTTTTAAAGTGCATATTTCATCAGATGGTTTAACACTTTTTTAATGGATCGAAATGGAAGAAAACATGATTATTGAGCTCTACATTTCCAGAAAGTCTTTGTTACCTGTAATTTCCTCCCCCAGTAAGGGAGTCTCTTCCCTTGGAGGCCCAGACAGTATTCCTAACTTTAAATTCCCTGGTCTGAGTCCTATGCCTATACTTTAATTCACCACTGCTGCTAACCAGATGCTAACTACTTTTTAAAATTTTCTAATTGAGACACTAGCTCTAATTCTAATTCTCATTCTCTGACAATGACATGTTACTTTTTAAATTTTTAAACTAACCTCTAAATTAGGTTTTATTTAAAACATAATTTAAAAATAGAAATAGCAGTCAAATATGACATCCCAAAACAATGTACAGTGGGGTTGGCGATTGCAAGTTGTTAATGTTTTCAGGATTGTTGGACCGGGTATGTAGAAATTGTT